TGTCAAAAAAAAAAAAAAAAAAAAAAAAAAAAAAAAAAAAAAAAAAAAAAAAAAAAAAAAATCACACTTGTGAAGTCTGTTTTCCCAATTTAGTAGCAGTAATGATCTAAATGGATCAGGTCAGGAGCAGAACTGTTTTCCAAACAAATGCTAGGAAACTCCCTATGCTGATAGCATAAGCAAAACTAAAAACTGACAATTACTTAATACACTCCAGATCAAAACTTTGTGATTAGGCCTGAAAACTGACAGCAGTCCCTCTAGGTTCATCTGGACTGTAAAAACTAATGTGACTGAACTTTTTTTTTCACCTAAAAATACAGCTTGTGTCAAAGGTGAAATATATACGGGAGGCGAGGAATTGTGGTGGGGGGTAATATACTGTCCAGGAATGTTTTTCATTTTAACCAGCTGTCTAGTTAAGGCTTCATAGAACTGGACCCTTTTCAGCCACATACTACAGTTACAGGAACAGCCCTGGCTGTCTTACCAAACAATTTAATTACATACTAAATGGTGTACTGCAAGGTAGGATGTTGGGTTATGATACCTCCATCTAACCTCTGGATTAGGACAGTCTAGGCATCTTCCTCACACACTGCATTCTCTGAACTCAATTCCTACCTCACTGTCTTTGTGGCAGATTTTCAATAGTTTATTCAATTTTCCCCCTCTAATAGCACATGGAAAACACATTCCCAGACATGTCTTAATTCAGCAACAAAATTCCTCCAACAAAATTCCTCCTTAATTCCCCCAACAAAACTTAAGGAATGGAGTGTGAAAGGAAATCATCTGATATGTTGACCTATATTATTAGGAAATTCCAAGCTATATAGCATAAGAATATCATGGTAAGCATTACAGGAAAATTCAGAAAAGGCCCAAGGAAAGGACCAACTGGCCTGTCCTAGACACTTGCCAATGTCAGATTCTTCTCTCTTCACAATTAACAGTTTCAGGTATGAGTGTTGTCAAAGAATATACGGAGGTCATATTTCATATCCTCCTACTGATGATTGCAAAGATGATTCTACCACACAGTATTGTGTCCATCAGCAGTGATGTATACATGTGATATGGAAAAATTCTTGTCATATTATATATATGCCTTCTGTATAGGGCATAGTGACAGGGCTGGGGAGGAATGTACTTCCCAGGCAGGTAAACTGTGCTCCAGAATTGATGAGGTGACCCCAAAGTGGGGAAGCTGTAAGATGCCTGGCAGGGAGCTCACACACAGAGCCAGACACTGAGTGATAAAGGATCTACTCTGTGTTCAGGCAGATTCCTTTCAGGAATAACAGAATCCATATAATTCCTATTTCAGAAAGATAAGCCAATGACAAGGCTTGAAAAAGAGAATTCAAGTGATATTTTACCTTTTCACCTTTCTCTCCTTTGTGGCCTGGCAAACCAGCTACTCCTGGCAATCCTGCTTCTCCCTGATTTTAAAATAAATAAAAATGTCAACAAAGCAGATCTAAAATGTATTTGGTTAGGTTTCCTGTCTTTGTCCCAAATGCCTAAAAAAGCAAATGACTCAATAAATATAGTGCAACACCCAGGAGAAGTATTAAATTAAAACAAACATTATGTAGAATATAATTCATTCTCAAGTAAAAATATTTATACTAAATATGATGCCTAAATATAATTCTTAGTTTTACCATGGTACTTTTTTGGGTGTATATTCAAACAATTAAACCTTACTGACATCTCTAACTTGACATTAAATTTGAAATTAAATC